ATAAAATAAACCTTGCACCAGAGGAGCCACTTGTAACATTAGAGAATGACTGTGACTTCCTTCCCACTCATAGGTTTCTTTTGAACAAATACAGACAAAGCAATACTAAACAAAGCTGAACCTTTCTAAGCCCATTGATGTCAACACGCTTAGAAATGAACTGGCAGATCTACTCCAAACTGAACTACTAAACAGTGCCACTGATGGAAGGGTAGGGAGATGTGAGAAAAACCAATATGGATATTACCTTGTGAAAGATGCAGAGCCCAATCTTATGCATGTTTACTCAGAAGTAAGTTAACTGAGTTCAGTACATGTTACTTTCAAAGTAAGTATGCATAAGAATTAAGAGCTTTCAAAACAAATTGCAGTAATGAAAGTTATAAAAACAAAACGTATACTAGGAGCTGCTCCCCCATCCCAAGGCTAAATGCTACTGCTGTACAGGAAAAATTATTAATGAATGTCACTTAGATGGAAACCCCCCATCCCAAGGCTAAATACTACTGCTGTACAGGAAAAATTATTAATGAATGTCACTTAGATGGAAACCCCCCATCCCAAGGCTAAATGCTACTGCTGTACAGGAAAAATTATTAATGAATGTCACTTAGATGGAAACATCTTATATATATAATTCTCTTGATGTGCTGGCCATTTCCAGCTCTCCCATTGGCTGTGTTGTGTGCTTCATCAGCCATTGGCCCATCAACCGCCACTCAAGAGTAATCATGTGCCATTGGCTGGGTACTGGGTCCACTCCTCTTCTCCGCCCACTGTCACCTCAGCCACTGTTCCCTGTCAGAATAACTGCCAAACAGAATAACTGTCTCTCCTGACGAAGACACTTCTCCTGCTTGGCTCCTGTGGGACTAACTTTTCCCTCAGTGGCTGCTCCTAGGCAACCAAGCTTGGTTCTGTCAGTAAAAGACAAAGGAATGAAGTCCTTTCCAGGGCTTTGTGGGGAACTCATTGGGGCCAGTCCTGACAAGGGTTGCCAGCTCCAGGTGGGGAAATTCCTGGTGATTTTGTGCTGAAGTCTATGGAAGCCAGGGTTTGGGGAGGGGAAAGGCCTCAGCTGAATAGAATGCCATAAAGTTCACCCTCCAAAGCAGTTATTTTCTCCAGGGGGAGAGATCTGTTGTCTGGAATTCAGTTGTGATACCAGGTGATACCACAGCCAGTGTGGCGTAGAAGTCAGCACTTCAGAGCAGGGTCTGCCAGACCCAGGTTCTTGCTGTGGAAGCTGAGTGGGTGATTTAAGCATAATCGTCTCTCCAGCCTACTGCCAGCTTGGCCACTTTCCTGTCAGAATAAATTGTGAAAACGGCTGTCTCCTGCTTGGCTCTGACATGGCTGGCTGGCTACTAAGGTGGGCCACTGGCCATCAAACCATTCTTTCCAACCCCATGCTGTGCGGCTGACTTTCCCCTAGGGTTGCCAATCTCCAGGTGGGACCTGGAGATCTCCCACTGTTACAATTTATCTCCAGATAACAGAGATCAGTTCCCCTGCAGAAAATGGCTCCTTTCTATGCCTATTTTGGACTCTGGGAGAAAACTCATTGGGGCCAGTCCTGACTAGGGTTGCCCGCTCCAGATTGGGAAATTCCTGGAGATTTTCTGGTAGAGTCTACAGAAGCCAGAGTTTAGGGAGGGGAGCAGCCTCAGCTGAACAGAATGCCATAGAGTCCACTCTCCAAAGCAGTTATTTTCTCCAGGGGGAGAGAGAGATCTGTTGTCTGGAGTTCAGTTGTGATATCAGGTGATACCACAGCCGGTGTGGTGTAGCATTTAGCGCTTCAGAGCAGGGTCTGCCAGACCCAAATTCTTGCTGTGGAAGCTGAGTGGGTGATTTTGGACCAGTCGCAGACTTTCAGCCTAACCTACCTCACAGGGTTGTTGTGCAAGCCAAAAGAGGGAGAGGAAAATGATGTAAGCTGCTTTGGTCCTCACTGCAGAGAAAGATGTACTTTTCCTCCTGGGGAACCAGTTGCCAATCTCCAGGTGAGGGCTGGAGATACTCAGAATTACAACTGCTCGCCAGATGGCAGAGATCAGTTCCCCTGGAAAAAATGGTGGACTCTATGTCCTTATACTCTGCTGAGATGGCCCCTCTATGACAGCCAGTGTGACATAGCAGTCAGGACTTAAGAGCAGAGTAGAGGCTGCAGGTGTGGGAAGGAGATGAAAAGCTGAAGTCAGAGGGGCAAATAAAGGTAGTTTGATTACTGGCTCCAGGTTGGGAAATTCATGGAGATTTGAGGGTTGGGACCTGGAGAGGGTGAGGTTTGAGGAGGGGTGGGACCTCAGACAGCTACAATGCCATAGACTCCACCCTCCAAACCAGCCATTTCCTCCTGGAGAACTACTGCTGTCAATCTCCAGGTGAGGACTGGAGATCACTCAGAATTACAACTGCTCTCCAGGAGGGAGGGGGTGGAGATGGGAAGCTGAAATCAGAGAGGCAGATAATGGCAGTTTGATGATTGGCTGGGAAGAAGATAGGGTTGCCAACTCCAGGTTGGAAAATTTCTGGAGATTTGAGGGGTGGAGTTTGGAGAGGGTGAGATTTGAGGAGGTGTGGGACCTCAGACAGGTACAATGCCATAGACTCCACCCTCCAAACCAGTGATTTCCTCCTGGTGAACCATTGTTGCCAGTCTCCAGGGGAGGACTGGAGAGCACTCAAAATTACAACTGCTCTTCAGGTAGCAGAGATCAGTTCCTCTGGAGAAAATGGTGGATTCTGTGTCATACCCTGTTGAGGTCACCACAGCAAATTGACGCTGAGTACCCATGGCTGGGGCACTCTCCCTGAGCCTCTTTCTAGAGCTCGTTATATTTATTTCCACAACGGGCCTTATTCCTAGTATTTTTTATTTCATCAGTGCATTTCCCATGACAGTGTTATTAAATCAATAACGTGCAATCAGCTTTCCTCAGTATGAAGTGACAGGCTTGTTTCAATGTATTGTATGGATGACATACAGATTAAGGCTTCTAATAAACACAGCAAGGCCATTGCACTACTCTGTCACCGTATACCACCAGAGTGTCTTTAATCAGCCAAGCTTTGTCACGATACAATATGCTGCTTGTGTCAGCAATCAGCTGAACAACAGCCGAGGTTGCTAAGAAAATTTCAGCCCCCAGAGGCTTTTCAGAAATCCAGGGCTTCTGCTACCAAGTGACTGGCTGTAATGCATCTGGGTCACAGATAATTATAAAAACATACAATTTTATTAAACAGGGAATAAGCAGAGGATTTCTTTTCTCCCAAAGTAGATGCAAATAAAGCCCAGCTAGCTTGAAGGAAAAGATGAGAACCAGCAACACCCAGGGCAATAATAAAATAGACATTTGTGCAAACAAGAATACACTCAAAAAGTACAGTATGGGCTGTCAAAAACTAGACCATCTCTTGAAATCAATCATCCAACAGATATATAGCTGAATAATCAAACCAGTTAAACCAAAGAATTTACGTGTTATATTTACCAAACATCTTGATTTCAAACCAACTAGTAGATAATGTGTTCATAAACACAGTTGATATCCTTACATCCACTTCCTTGGAAGTGTACATAGTGTCTCAGTTTAACTTTGCTGTGAATCATGGCACCTTTTCCTCCCTTTTGCTATTTTTACATTGAAAAGGTGTATTTCAGTGCTTTATTTCTATGTCTGGCTGTATTGTTTCAACAGCAGGAGGCTAGAGTACAAATCAGGAGAAAAATATGACACTTTCAAGTACAATATATCCTGCTAAACAAAGCCCACTTTCTAAAACACATATTAACTCTCTATCTGGCTTTAGCTTTATGTGCTAGTAGCTACAGCGACAACAGCAAGTGTGAATGACCAGCACAGCAATAAAGGCTGTTCTTACTAACTGCACATACCATTTATCCAAATATAATCTTGGGTATGGTGTGTGCTGGGTAGTTAGAAGAGTAGCTGCAAGCACATACTAAGAAACCACTGGGACAGCAGGCTTCCTCAGATACATCTATAAATTGCTATTTATTTTAATGTAGGGCAAGAACATTTAGCTTTTTGATGCTTCTTACTCTTGCAATGCCCTTCATCCACCACACTTCTCAAAGGTATTGAGGAGTGGAGAATGCAGAGAAGAAAGAGGGCTGTGGTTTGCTACTGATTTATATGTGCATTCATGCATGCTGCGCCAATTGCCTCATTCATAAACACCACAGATCCCTTTACTGTGATGTCCTTACAACCCATTTCATCCATCTGGGTCACCACCAGTCGCATTTTAAGCATTCTTTTTCGTGGTCCAATTACCTTAAAACATATCTAGCATCTATTTGTAAAATGTAATCCTATAAATGTCAGTGATTTGCAAATATAAATGGAGAGCACTGGCAGGCTGAAGGTCCAAACCGTTTCTAGAAAATCTACAGAGGAACGTTCAGGTAAAGATTGCTCCCTGAGAAGAAATGACAGCGCCAAGCAATCCTCTGAAAGCGCCAAACTGATTATGAATGGCTATTACATCGCTTCACGTCCCCTGATATGGCAAGACGATCGAAAGGAAAAATATCCCACCAACGACAGAGAACAAATCCGGGAATCCTGACGGAGCCCGCAACTTTCTTCCCGGGCTTGCCTTCACGGTGGGCTATTTTAAAACGGGTGCGGACAGCAGGCTGTGAGGAAATCTCCAATAAACATAAAATCCGTTTCCCCCCATTCACAAGCAAGTCAATGATAAACTAGGCGCAGAAGCCGAGAACGAAGCCCGGCTGTTGCCGTTCCTGCTGCACTAACCCCCGCCAAGCCAGCGTTTGCGCAGCAAGCATTAGCCGCTGCGGCTCCCATTGCAATGCGCCGTTATCCTTCCTCGGTGCCTGCCCGTGCAGGACCCCCACAAAACCCTCCTGAGGGCGAGGCGAGGGGTTAAATACCACCCCCGGCACCCCCACCTGTCGCCCAGCCTGTCGGGGCTGCTTGCAGTGCGGGGCTTTTCGCACTCACCCAGAAAACGAAGGAGTAGATAATGAGGAGGGTTTTCAGACACGTTATCACGGGTTTAGTCTCCATTCTCCTCGATGCCATAATACTGAAATCCCGGCTGCTGGCTCTGGGCAGGGGAGGGAGAGCGCGCGAGAGGGAGGAGGAGGAGGAGGAGGGCGACGACGACGCCGACGACGCCGAGAAGGGAGGGGGCTCGCCCCTCCACCGAGCAGCTGCTCCCGCTGCTGCTGCTTGCCGCCTGCCCCTCTGCCGCCGGTTGGCCTGTCCGCTGTCTCAGGGACCTCACGGAGTGCTGGGTCGCCGCCCGCCCCGCCTCCTGCTGCTGCCCCGGAGCCACACCAGACACCACAGCTTTGTGCGGTCACAGTGCCGGGGCAGGCAGTGGGCAGCCTCTGGTCACCTGCCCCGCAGCGGACTACAACGCGGGGAGAGGGCGGGGGAAAGACGGACATTCCCCCCCCCGTCCACGCACACACATCGGCCCATTTACGCCCCCCCGCGGAGAGAGAGGCCTGGAACAAAGCCAAGGGGAGGGGGGCTCGGTGTTGGTACGGGTGTTGTGTGGCGCAGGGAGGGAGAAAACATTGCAGGTAGCAACGTTGTTTCCGAACAAATGTTAACAAAAGCCGCGTAATACCATTTAGCAAGATCATCCGTAATAACTGCATAACTACCGTGCAAGATTTCAGGCTCTCCAGAATTCTTTGTCAGGCTGGATTTTGTTTTATAAAAGGCGGGGGGGGGGGGGGGGTTCAGGCCTCCATCTTAAAGCCTCCCACCAGCAGCCTGTCGGAAAACCAAGCAGTTTTGAATCGATAAAGTGCTGGTGTGAGGTCTTCTAGGAAGAAAATAGGAAAATGACATTTAACAAATAGTTTCAGCGATAGGGTTGCCAATTTGCTAGAGACCCCTGGACTCCTCCAAGAACTGCATCTAGCCCGCAGACTACAGAGATTAATTTCCCTAGAGATAATGGCAGCTTTGGTGGAAAGACTCTAGGCATGACATCCTGGCTGAGCTTTCTTCCCTCCCCATACTCCACCCTCTCCAGACACTGCCCCCAAATCTCCAGGAGTTTCCCAAACCAGTTGGCAACCCAATTACTTGAAATCCTGCTCAATTCTAGTAAATAAATCTGACTCCCAGGAAGGTGTCCTTAGAATTGCACTGTTAGGTTTTGTGGACCAGAAGCAACTTCATATGGGTTTTTTTTTGTCTGTAAAAGATTATGTCACAAGAAATATGTTGGTCTTCAAAATGCCAGTAGGCTAACAGTGCTACTTTAGTTGTTGTAGATTTTCCAGGCTGTATGGCTGTGGTCTTGGCATTGTAGTACCTGACATTCCACCAGCGGCTGTGACTGGCATCCTGAGAGGTATAACACAGAAAGTTGGAGTGCTCTCTGTCAAGGTAAGAAGAAAAATGGTACGCAAGTAATTTATATCTACTCAGGAAGGCGGGGTACGGAAAGAAGAGAGTTTAAAAATAAATAGGACATGGTTTCCAGTCCTGAAAAACACAAAATGCTCTATATCTTACAGTGATGTCCTTTCAACAGCCAATCCATATGCAAAAGAACATCCTCAGGAAAGCTCCTCCATTAGCATGTCACAGCCTGGGAAACTCCTACAAGATAATGACTCAGCCCTACCCCACCTTCCAGAGTAGATATAAATTACCTGCCTACCATTTTTCTTCTCATCTTGACACACAGAGTTCTCCATCTTTCTGTGTTACCCCTCTGAGGATGCCAGTCACAGCTGCTGGCGAAATGTCAGGTACTGCCATGCCAAGACCATGGCCATACAGCCCGGAAAATCTATAACAACTAATGAACTCTGGCTGTGAAAGCCTTCAACAACATATTGAACAGTGCTGCTGTTTAGGGAACTGTAGAGCTCTTGCTCCATCATTTTGCCACATACAGTGTTCAACTTTGGCATGCGATATACAAGCATGTTGTGCATGCACAGCAGCAGATACATGTGGCTCTTAGCTTCAGGCTGAGAGCTGCACAGCTTGTTTGTTTGTTCTCACAGCTGCCACACACTGAAGTGGCTGTGTTAATGGGCCCTTGCAGGGAAAGGTAAAACAGTTACTTTGTATCGAAGAAGAGAGAGGTGTGGTTGAAAGCCATACCTTCTCCCTTAAAAAATTCTACCCTCCTATCCCAAGTAGAGTTGAATCAGGAGTGGAGGAAATGTATTCCTTATGCAGAATGTGCAGTGCCAATAGTAAAACAAGCTTAGTGACACAGAGGAAAGAAGAACATGCCATCAAATCAATGGGATGTTCTAGGGAAGGAACAGGCAGAGGTGGTTAGCCATTGCCTTCTTCCATGTAGCCACCATGGTCTTTCTTGGTGGTCTCCTATCTTAACTACTGACCATGGCCAACCCTGCATAGCTTCTACACTCTGAGACACTCATGCTAAACTGCTAATATGCAGGAAGCATGTAGAAATTCCAAGGAACTGCGTTGGTGCAAAAAATATACAAACCCAAAATCCATATAATACCATTTATTAAGACCAACCAAAATGATTTTAAAAAACAAAAACAAAACTGCAAGCTTTCAGGTTCTCCAGAATTGTTCCTCAGGCTGGATGTTAAAAAAGGAGTTTCTGTTGATGGTCTTGAGGATTTTTTTTGTACACTCCTCTTTGGAGAATCCTGCAGATTTAAGAAGCATTTGGGCACATTGTATGTGGGCATACTCTAGTGAAGGGAAAAGGATTACTATATGGCACATCATGGTCATGGGTCATAGAAACACTTGTAGGAAAATCGAGGTCACAATGGTGGGGCACAGTAGACTGGTTGGTTGGGAGATACTTCTGGATGGGAGTGCACTCTCCTCATCATAGCTGTAGCTTTTGAATCTTACTTGTGAATCCAGCATTGCTTCTGTAATCTGTAATCCCAGATAGTGTGTAATTCTGTAATCTGTAATCCCAGATAGTGTGAGATAGCCTTTTTTCCAAATTGGCTAATTCACCAGCTGTACCCACAAGATGAAAGACAAAGACACCATCATTTGTGCTTTATTCAGATTAGACTATAATTATGTGTTCTGTTTGGGGCTGCCCATGAAAACAGTCTGGAAACTTCAGTTATTCCTGCCGACCTATTGACAGGCACCAGCAGACGGGGTGATATTACTCCAGTGCTGTAACATCTCAATTGGTTACCAATATGTTCCCAGGCACAATTTTAGGTATGGTTTTGAACTATGAAGGTCTGGAGGGTCTTATGGAGCACCTCTTTCATGTGAATTTCTGCCTAAAGATGAGACAATGAGGCCAGATTCCATGTTTTATGGAGGCAAGATTGAGATTCACCAGAAGCTGAGCTTTTTGGGTAGTCACGGCAATATTACTAATTTATTTTAAATTGTTTATATCACACATTTCTCCTGAAAGGCTCTATACTGCTCACAGAAGAGTACCCAAAGGATAGCAATAAAAACACAAAGAAAAATTCCAAATAGTAGCATTCCCATCCACACTATAAAAATCAAAAACCCAGCCTATACCAAATACTCCAGCTGTGGAATGTCTTGTCTCAGGAGTTAACTTTGAAGGATTGATCCTGGGTATTTTTGTTGGTGGTGCTAGATCAAGAAGATGCGGGGGAAATCGGGAGGGGGGAGATGGGGGTCAAAATGCAAATAGTGGGAAACAGGAGACCAAGGGTGGAACAACTGCTTTTGCTGAATCGGCCTCAATGATTGAATGGTGTATATAGATAGTATAATAACATAAGCATAAAGAAACTGAACTAGCACTATCAGTCAAATGCTTGGGTATGTACTATCAACAGATTAAAGCTTTTGAACAAGGATCCTAAAACCACTTATTTTGCAATTGTTCCATTAACTTCAGTGATTGTACTCCAGAATTAGAAGTCTAAGAATTACAGCAAATTGGACAGGTTCAATTAAAACCTGGTTAAAGTCAACATTATTGATCTGTGGTTAATGAGCTAGTTAATCACCATACCAGTCAATTAATGATTTCAATGTTTGCTGTCATTGTGGTGCGATGCAAATGTAAATCAAATCCAGAGTTGGAGTCTTGAACTCTTTTAGCTGACAGCAAAGGACTCCAAATGGGACTTTAGACATATATTCTTAATAATTTAAAAGTAAATGGAAAAAAACTTTCTAAATTTCAGATATAAAAATGTATGAAGAGTTTTTGTTAAAGAGAAGTATCTATAGGGAACTAAACATGAAAAACATCACATCACATGATTCAGAAGTTAAATCCATAATGAAAAATATCACACATGGTGCAGAAAGCAAAATCCATCTTAAAACACAAACGTTTGCATCTAAACATAAGAAATCATATCAGTGTACACAGTAAGCACTGTGGTATCTTTTAAAATAAAACTATTTTATTTTGAGAAAATTAAAGGAATTGCTGTTCTAACAATGCAACTATGCAGAGTTATTCCAGTCTAACCCCACTCTGTTTATCCAATATTCAAAGTAGATTATTACACACAGTAATGGACATTGTTGACATTAACAACCAATGATTTCCAGATTCGTTTGGTATCAGCATCTGTTCACAGTAAACACATATAGTGCAAATGCAGTAACGCCATTTCAATTATTTGTGAGTACTATTGTTAACATGTACCCACAAATCTATTTCTTCCCTGTACCTTTTTACCTTTTACAAAGAAATGGTGACTCAGGGAAAAAAAATGAGCTCAATTGAACAGCTCCCCCCCCCTTCAGGATAGGCTGGGGCCATGCTGTGGGAACAATGTTGTGGTGAGCCTCAGTAGCTACTAAGGCACCTGGGTACATCTAAAGCCTAGAGATACTATTATTATTAAAAGCTGAAAGTATTAAATAGAATCTATAAAGAACCACATTTACTGTATGTGCTAATAACAGTTTGGGAAGGTGTCTAATAGCTCTTTAACATACCATGAATATGAGTTTGTATTAAAATCAGCTGCATTGTGAGAAAATAAAGCGTACTGTAGTAGATAATGCAAAGTGGTTGTGGGGTTAGTGGTAAAGCAACACTGATAAAGCTGTGCTTGTAGAAAGGAGGGGAATCTGAAACACTGCCATCAAAATAGCTCATTGTTTCACTTGTTAAACCTTGGGCAAATTTGAGTTAACATTCATTCCCCACCAAGGAGCTCTGGAACAGTAGTTTTGTGGGGAAGAATCTCTAATAAAATTCTTAGCTTCCTAAGCAAACTATAGTTCCCATGATTCTTTATGTGGGGGAGGAGGGGGTGACAAAGTGTTGTAAAAATTTTAGAAGTTCGCATTGTACATATGCCCTTTCTGTAAGGGTTACTCTCCATTTATGTCTCAAGTCTAGACC